TTTATCTACAGTATTAATGAATTTCAGGGCGACCAGAATTTGGAAAATTGTTAAATTGTTTTGCTTTTGAAGCTAGTTTTCTACAGTCCTTAGGAAGACTAAGCTCTAAAATGTGTCGCATTGCGTCGATAGAAAAACACACTTGAGATGAGGAAAAAGTTGGTGATTTACCGCACCTTTTGGTTATTGCACAGAGAGCATTGTCGCTGTCACCACCTGTCCAGCAATGCCCTGTGCTGTTCCTGCTCATAGCAGCTGTCTATGTTGTCTGGTATTAGCTCTGCCTTTGCCACCCCGAAGCCGCTGACATTGGTTTGAAGCCTTTAGATGTCCTGCCACCCCGACACTAATGTTCTAGTCCACAGTCCATTCCGGTTCCCCAGTTGAGGGAAAGCAAGCGACCTGACCCACGCTTCACTGCGAAGGTCCACATCACCTAAAGCGACACTCTATCCGGAATGATAAGCGACCTGAAGACTTCACAGTGAGTACAAGATTTCTCACAGGGAAGCCAAACAGTTGTGGATGCGTGAAAGAAGTTCAAGAGTTCAGTTCATCACGTTATACGATCGTAGATATTCAATAACTACCCAACATATGTTCTTGCTCTCTGGGTTTACTGTAATGGGAAAATTATAGCAATTGACTGGTAATTGTTAATTGACTGCAAATTGTGACTTAGTAATCCGTTTATAATTTAGGTAACAATATCGATTATGTTTAACAAATATGTATTTTTAAAAAAACGTTTAAAAATTATATGAATATACTACTGGCACTTATATAGCGCCCTCCACGAAGGGTAGTGTCTCAGAGCGCTTAATATATATATTAATATAAATGAATACATATGAAGAATATGAACTTACTAAAATAACGTTGACCCAGAAAATTAAACCAAGTGTTAAATAGTTTAATCATAAATATCTTAAATCAATTCAATTATCCCAACCAGCTTTTAAAAATAAAATATATGAAATAATAAGAGACCTACATACAATACCAGGGAAATTAATTTTAAATAGCCTTTCTTCTTTCTCTTCCCTAAACAAATTGAGGGCATTCGACATTACTTCATAAATAAGTTTTGCAATGTATTTTAAATTCTTGAAAACAAGCTACTCCACTAACCTATACAGTACTTTGTGCAAAATAGTGTAGTAAAAACTAAAGTATTCACCAATTAACTCAACAAGTTGAGTGTGCTGTATAAAACGCAAGATCTACCATTAGGTGGCGTTTCCTCTAGAGAAATTTATGTTTGAAAGCATTATGAATTGCAAGAAACTTGAATACACCAAATCGGAAGTAATTGTATGGTCATAAATCCTTGATTAATTTCACTGAATATGTTCTCCTTAAACTGAAAATGCAGTGCCATTTTTATCATTAATGCATAATCTGCATCTGATTTGCAATTTAAACTTGTGTTTCTGTCAATTGTCTATGCTTACTTTTGGAACTATCTTTCAATTCTAATTATCGACTGGTACATATGTCAAACTAATGAATAAATGGTAAATGACGCTGCCGCTTATTCATTCACAATCGTGGGCATGAATTTTCATGCTTTAGTCAAAGACGTCATATTTCCTAGACATCAGAATATTTTTCTTTCGTACTTTACATACCATTTGTATCCCATGCATCAATCTGAATGGTTTTTCATTGGCTCACATTCTTATTTTTACAAATAAACCCCAAATAACCCAATTCTGACAATCGAGGACTAATTCTGTTTTGATATTAGCTAACAAACAAAACATTTCCATGAAGTGTTGGGTGGTAGTATATTCTGACCTTTCAAACCGACTGATCAAACCGCTCTCTTCGCTCAGCCTGCTTCATGTCCCTCACCCTATCTGCTCCTCCATCAGCAGCCGGGCTTTCAGCCATTCTGCCCTCATTCTCTGTAACTCCATCTCAGAGTCCCTTCAATTCGCTTCCTCCCTCACCTCGTTCAAGGTCTGTCGCAATATGTACCTCTTTGAACACACTTTTGGTCTTTTTTCCCTTCCTCACCCCTTGGCTCCCACCCCCCAGCTTGGGTGCCGAGTCAGCAGTGTCAAGCGCTTTGGGATGTCCTCCCAACATGAAAGGTGCTATAAAACTTAGAGAGGACAAGTTTGCAGGGCTATGGGGAGAGCGCGGGGGAGTGGGATTGATTTGGATAGCTCTTTTAAAAGAGCTGACACAGACACGATGAGCCGAATGGCCTCCTTCTGTGCTGTATAATTCTATGATGATAAATGTAAATTTGCATTGTATTATATATTGATTTGCAATTGCAGGATATTTAACAAGAATGCTGAATAAGTCACACAACAGCTAATTCTCCAGTATTCACTGTGTATTTCCATATAACCGTATAATACTAAAATTCAAGTACCAACATGACAAGCTTCTAACTCCAGATAGAAGAAGAAATTGAAAAGAAAATAGTTATAACATAAACTAATAAAGGATGTGTTGCGCCTTTTCTGAGGTTCTTTCAAAGCCGGTTCCAATGGTTTTGTAAATAGTTAAGCAGTTAACTAGTAATTTAATACATCATCTTTCAAGCAGTATACTGCAGTAACATTGTAATTGATGCATTAAAAGCAAAATATCAGTGTGCTTCAAGTAAAATGATTATTCTTCAATAACATCATAACATAATTGAGTTTGCTCTATTCCACTCTTGATTTGAATTTTTTAAGTAGGCTGTAAGGCTCGGTAAGCTATTGTTGAGTTTCTTGGAATAAGATGAATCTAGGCTGCAGCTGTTAGGAATAAAAAGGAATCCTTCACAGCCATTGAGATTCGATTAACACCGCACTTGTAGAGTATTTCTTTCATGTGTACCCATCTCTGGCCTGAAATTTCTCATGGTCGTAGCCGCAAGACCATTGTCTTAAAATTTAAAACTGCCAAATTTTAAAATAATTGTTAAATATGGTCTTAATTTGGAAACTGTGTTCCACAATTCTTTTAAACTGTTTCAAAATTAAGAGTGGATTTAAGAATTTCCCAAATTGTGCACAATTTAAATTTTGAGATAATGGTCTTGAATTTAAGAGCCTAAGGCGTTTTATATATATAATATATTAATAATAATCCTTGGATTTGACATAGCGCGTTTCACATTTTCTAGACATTTCAAAGTGCTTCACAGAATAGACTGTAAAGTGAATTGACCGTATATTTGTGGGTGAAACGCAGCAGCCAATTGCGCACAGCAGTGTCCCACAAACAGTCATGGATTGAAAATGACCAATTTATTATTGCTTTGTTTTGGAGGGATTATTATTAGGCTGTGTGTGGAGTAAGGAAACTTGCCCAAAGTTTCGCCCTCTGCCTGGAGTTTTAAGTTTAAAATTACATATAAAATTTAGATGAATAATTTCCTCCTTAGCGCAACTTACCTAACGTTATTGGTAATAATAATAATCCTTGCATTTGATATAGCGCTTTTCACGTCTTCTCAACGTCTCAAAGCGCTTCACAGAATAGACTGTAAAGTGAATTGACGAATAAATGGAATTAAAATTCAAATAAAAAGTTTTTAAAAAAAGCTACCACAAGCAACAACGTCTACGTCTTCACAGCAGTTCCTGGGAATTAAACTGATATGTACTTTTATCCTAGTACATATTGGTAGTAAGATTGTAAATCTCAGCAAGAAAGACCATAAATATGACTTATTCACTTTATGATAGATCTAGAAAGAGTGGTTAAAAATATAATTCTGTTTATCACGACCACTTATTTCATAATTACAAGTTTTTGCGGGAACAACGGCAAAGTACGGGCAACATCTGAAAGAGAATTGGGACGAGATGGAGAGGGTGAGGCTGAGATGGAGAGAAAGAGAGAGACGGGGTGGGGGAGAGATGGAGAAAGAGAGAGCAAGAGAGAGGCAGAGACTGGGGGAGAGAGTGGAGTAGATGGGAGAGAAAGAGAGAGGAAAAGGAGGTGTAGAGAGAGAGGCAGCGATTTAGAGAGATTGAGAAAGGAGATGGAGAGACAAGATTGAGAAAGAGAAGAGATGGAGAGAGGGAGAGTGAAAGGAGATGTAGAGAGAGAGAGGCGATGATGATGAGATTGAGAAAGAGAGAAAAAGAGATGGAGAGAGAGAGATTTAGAAGAAGAGATGGAGAGAGAGAAAGAGAGAGAGTCAGAGATAGAAAGAGAGAGGCGATGGAGATATTGAGAAAGAGGAGAGGTGGAGAAAGAGGAGAGATGGAGAGAGAGAGAAAGAAAGGCAGAGAATATAGTCCTATGATCACAAGGAATAGGAGAGAGAGAGAGAGAGAGAGCTTTGAGGCCTGACTTCTTTCCAAAATAATAATGATTTTCCCTGGAGAAGAGCGGGGTTAGGATTCCCTCCCCCCCCTCCCCTCATCTCCCCTCCCTCCCCTCATCTCCCCTCCCCCCTTCCCCTCATCTACCCCCCCTCCCCTCATCTACCCCCCTCATCTCCCCCCCTTCCCCTCATCTCCCCTCCCCTCCTCCCCTCATCTCCCCCCCTTCCCCTCATCGCCCCTCCCTCCCCTCATCTACCCTCCCCCCTCCCCTCATCTACCCCCCTCATCTCCCCTCCCCTCATCTCCCCTCCCTCATCTCCCCTCATCTCCCCCCTTCCCCTCATCTCCCCTCCCTCCCCTCATCTCCCCCCATCCCCTCATCTCCCTCCCCCCCTCATCTTCCCTCCCCCCCTCCCCTCATCTACCCCCCTCATCTCCCTCCCCCCTCCCCTCATCTCCCCTCCCCCCCTCCCCTCATCTACCCCCGTCGGGTCGGGATACAGTAAATGGCGGCAGACGGTCGGTCGGGGGGGGGGGGGGGAGGGCTCACACTCCGGAGGCCGCCGTTTGGGTTTGAATTTGAATCGAGCGCGAGATGCTCGCGCAGCTCCTCTCCCCCCCCCGGGAGCCAACGGCCGCACGCCCCCCCCCCCCCGAGAGCACGTGACCTGACCCTGGCGAGGCTCGCGCTTCCCGCCTGGAGGAGGAGGAGGAGAGAGGCGCCGCGGTGGGGGGTGAGGAGGAGGAGGAGGAGGAAGGCGTTGGTCCACAAAAGATAACCCGCTCGGGGCGGCGACGACGAGGCCGTGAGTCCGAAACACCCCACACACGAAACACCTTTGTTTTTGTTTGTTTTTCTCTCTTCTTCTTCCTCTTCTTCTAAAATAAAAGATTTTTCCGACACAAAAGAAAGTAATAATCAAAATCCACGAATGCATAAATACGAATACAGAAGCCCTTTCACAACTTATACCTATAAAGTATATCTATATTACAGTATATATAATCATTTGTACATATGGCGGCGCCGACCACCGCCCCCACCACAACAACAACTTGCATTTGAGATCGCTGTCCTTCACGTTTAACGGGGGGGCGTTTCCCGCTCGGGAGGACGTCCCCCCCCCCCCAACACCCCACCCCACCCCAATTCACTGGACCTGAGGGGGAGGGGGTGGGGGGGGGCGGCTGCTGGGATCAGGGAGGGAAGGTTAGGGGTAGGAGGATGGTAGAAGGTGCGGTCGCAGCGGAGGGTCTCGAGACGCGCCTCTGGAGGAGGCGAGGGAGGCGGAGGGAGCGAGGGAGGCGGAGGGTGCGAGGGAGGCGGAGGGAGCGAGGGTGGTGGAGGGTGCGAGGGAGGCGGAGGGTGCGAGGGAGGCGGAGGGAGGCGGAGGGTGCGAGGGAGGCGGAGGGAGCGAGGGAGGCGGAGGGTGCGAGGGAGGCGGAGGGAGCGAGGGAGGCGGAGGGAGCGAGGGTGGTGGAGGGTGCGAGGGAGGCGGAGGGTGCGAGGGAGGCGGAGGGAGCGAGGGAGGCGGAGGGAGTCGAGGGAGGCGGAGGGAGCGAGGGTGGTGGAGGGTGCGAGGGAGGCGGAGGGTGCGAGGGAGGCGGAGGGAGCGAGGGAGGCGGAGGGTGCGAGGGAGGCGGAGGGTGCGAGGGAGGCGGAGGGTGCGAGGGAGGCGGAGGGTGCGAGGGAGGCGGAGGGAGCGAGGGAGGCGGAGGGAGCGAGGGTGGCGGAGGGAGCGAGGGAGGCGGAGGGTGCGAGGGAGGCGGAGGGAGCGAGGGAGGCGGAGGGAGCGAGGGTGGTGGAGGGTGCGAGGGAGGCGGAGGGAGCGAGGGAGGCGGAGGGTGCGAGGGAGGCGGAGGGAATACGGGATGGAGTCGATTCACTTTACAGTATATTCTGCGGAGCGCTTTGAGACGCCTCGGCGACGCGGTGAGGCGCTACATATCGAATGCAATTGTTATGTACAAACGGACGCTTTAAATGCAGATCACGTCTGCATATATTTTTTAAAAATCACAATAACGGGGAGAAATCCATTGATCACACTCCACCCAGGACCAGCGGAACAAAACTGTCCGTGGTTCAGATCGGGAAGCAAAACACTAACAACTTGCATTTATATAGTGTCTTTCACGTGGCGTAGCGCCTGAGAGCACTTACATGTCATTGTTTGATGCTGAGCCGGAGAGGAAAGTCTTCAGGTGTGATCTGGAGATGGGAGAAGAGGGAACAAGACGGAGGAATCGAGGCAGAAAACTCCAGCGAGTTGGGGCATAGTGGCTAAAAGCATTGACCGCCAGTGGTGGAGAGAAGGGGTTGAGGAACGAACGAGCCCAAGTTTACCAGAATTTTTAAATGGAATTGTTTTTTCATTCAATGGCTTAACGCAAAATGATTGTTCACATTGAAGTTTTGAATGGTACAACATGCAGTGTATGATGAAGCAGCGACAGTGTGACATGTACTTTTAAGCATGCGAAAGATCGTTTTATATTTGACTTATTTTTGACTCTTCAATACGGTTGGTTATAAAAATAGGCTCTATCGATTCAACCACTCTTCAATTCCCTAATTTTTAATGATGTCCTTTTTTAACCAATTTTTCCTAGGAGAGATGGACAATACCAGCAAATTAACCAATCTGGATGAACTTTTACTAAAACTGAGTAAGAAATACATCTGAATAAATAACGTTATTGCATTAAATATTTAACATTTGATAATGATTGATATAGTTTTTGTAATGTTATTATTTTCAAGAATTCTAATTTGTGAACATGACTAGTGTTCCAGGTCCATCAGGATTCACAGCATAGAAAACAAGAAGAAGAACAGATACAGAGTGAGTATTCAAAAAAATTAAGAGAGTAAACATCTTATTATGGTGTTCATTAATTTGGAGTTGTAACCACTTGCACTGTTTGTTTTCTAGTCAATGAAGCTAACATTGTAAAAGCTCAACAACGTAGAAATGAGTTGCTTGAAAGAAACACCCAGCTTGATGTTGAAATTAATCGAATGCAGAAGATAAGTACACATAGTGACGATAATTCTAAAGTGTAAGGATTTTCCTTTAAGATTAAGCAAATATAGTTGTTTAATGTTCAAAAATACTGTTTTTTGTTTAGCTATAGAATTTAAACACAAACACATAACTTACTTAGGTGAGTATTTCACATTGGTCAAAAACTGAAGCAATAATTTAGGTGAAGTCAAATCCGTTTTGTACATAACTTCAATTCTGCTGTAGATCCTTGAACTACCTTAATTATTTATTTACTTTAGCATTTACTTACGGTTTTCTTCATGCTATTCATAATTCCCTTGTAGGAGAGCAGGCTATTCATATGCAATTACAATGCTGACCTTGATCTGGCCACAAAAGGTGAACTCCAGTTGAATTTACCATGATTTTCTCGACCCACACAGAGAAGCTTGTAGCCTCAAATTGATATTGCCTGACAGCATAATGCAGTTGGGACACCTATATATTCACATCCTTCACATGGCGTCAGTACTTTAAAACAGAATTGCTGTTTGCCACTTCCCACAGTGTGTATTTCTTTGCTGCTTAACCAGCATTAAAAAAATGCCAGCACAAAAAATGCACGTTTTTATTCTTTAACTATTTGACTCCAGGAATTTCTCCCCTTATAAATGTGAAAAATAAATTTAAATAGCAGCATGAGGTTTCAACTGTTTGTCTATTAATCCTTTTTGCTATTTTAGCTGGAAGTCAACCTGTACGTTTCTTACACAACATGAAGAAGATGTTCATATACAACTTCAGAAAAAACGTGCTGCTGTTGAGAAAGATATGTAAGTTAAAATATGTAAGTTTAAAAAAGTTAAACAAAAATATTTTCAATCCTCAGGCATTTTGCAAAAATGTAATTTCACAGTAAACTGTACATAGTATAATAATATATAATACCAGCTGTACCCATTGCAGCTATGCTTGCAACCAAAAGATCCAATATGGAATGTAGATTCACACACAGACAGACATTTCATATTTACCTATACTCATTTGGGTCGACTCCTGTGGGAGGACTCCTTTAGGGAGGACTCAGTGGGAGGATTCGGCGCTTTAAAATGTAATTTTGTTGTTGTTGCCGCAGCTTAGCTTCGTCTATGTTCTATATTTTGTTCCCGTCACTTGGATATGTGTGTGCTCTGTGACGTAGGATGCCGCGGTCAGCTGGCATGGCCAACAGGTGTAACTACCGTGCGTACATATGTACATGCTCTGTGACGCACGATCCCGCAGCGCCATGATCAGCCGGCGCAGCCATCAGGTGTAACTGCAGTGTGCGCGTACATGCGTAGGTGCTCTGTGACGCATGATGCCACAGCATCACTTTGACTTGGCGGCCACCGAGTGTAACTGCAGCGGCAAACGCAAAACTGAAATTAACTCATGAACGATAAGAGATAACGTAAAACAAACACGCCCATGCCACTCCCAGATGCAAGATCTTTCAGATGAGGTATAAATAATGTCTCCATGTCAATCGGTTATTGAGATCATTCTTGAAGCACAGACAGACTTTGTCATTTTATTAGTATAGATAATATACACCTCTGTTTACCTAGCAACAAATAAGAACCCGGTTGTTAGTCGATTGGTGGATCGCTTTTCCGGGGGTAATAAATTTTTAATAATTGGTTGCTCAACCCACGATTGTTTGTGGGACACGGCTGTGTGTAATTAGCTGCCGCGTTTTGCCCACAAAATATAGTCAATTCAATTTACAGTATATTTTGTGAAGCGCTTTGTGACGTCTCAAAGATGTGATAAGGCGTTATTTCAAATGCAGGGATTATTATTTGTTTACAAAATGTAGCAATTATATGTTGAACTCCATGATTAGGTTGACAGATAGTTTACCTGAGTTGCTTGCAAGAAATGTTACAAATGCACATTTGGTCAAGGATAGTGGAACTGTTATTACATAGTCTGATTGAGATTCAGGACATATCATTAATCGTACTTAAAGAACAGAGTTAAAATGTAGGCAATATAGCGTCTTAACATACAACGGCTGAATGGTGATTGATGCATGCCTTTGATATCTTGCAAAGCATTATGAAGTGATAGATATTGTGTGTTCAATTCATGATTGTCATTAAGGAAAGAAATGAAAGAAAATAGATTTAACATGTATTTTTCATTGTAACATTACTGCTGAAAATGAGCCAATCAAAGTTCAATGGCTTAATGGGGTTGGTACATGATACTTGAAATTACATATAAAGCTATATTTCCAACGTTCTTAAGATGGTATTTTTGGTTCAGGATTATTGAAAGGAGGATATTTTGAATACTGTGCAAGCTTGGATAAAGCTGCAGCACGAAGCCCAATTATACGTGACAAAGACAAATAATTAGAGTGTAAGTAACATAAAGTAATTGCTGGTACAGTGTTAGGCAATGGAGATACCCAGAGAGAATGGTACACCTCAACTAGTTGTCACACCTAAATCTTATGGAGAAGCAGGGCATAAGATGCCTAAGGCTCACCAGAAAATATATATAATGGATTTATATGAGTTATTGTAATCCGGTGTTGAGCCATGATCAAGTTGGGCATCATGTATTATATTCAAAAGGCGTTGGTGGATATTAATAACTCACCAACAGCCAGACAATTCTCCAATATTTTCAAAATTGGCAATCGTTGTGTGTGGATATCTGAGGTTTTATTGATTATATATTACTCCAGAAAAACAACTCCTTTTAATTGTTGGTTTCTTCTGGCTTTGGCTGCATTTTGTAAACACATTTTAGGTAATTTGAATGTAAAAATAAGAATGTTTGGGAATGTGGACCATAATTTTCACTTCCTATTTAATCCAGGAGACCAACTAGAGTCAATTATATCTCCATTTGATCTAATTTTGTCTAATAAAAATGAGCAAAGAGAACACAGTATTACAATAGTAAAACAGTTTCATTTTTGTTTTGATTACCTATGTGGAGAGTAATTATTAAGATATTTGTAATTTGAGAATGGAATAGAAGATAATGCAAACTATTAAATTTATTTCAATATACAGAATCAAACTCTTTTTTTTCCGAAATATTTGTTCTGATTGTTTCTGAAAATCTTCAATGGTGTATGGTAAAGCCAAGTTTTATTATTGCAAGCTTCCACATGAGCATTTCATTTATTAAAATCATAAAGTTCAAGGGAAACCTTTTTTTTCAGAGAAATGTATCAAGATTATTTGAATCAGTACAGAGAGATTCTGCAGCAGCATCAATCACAGTATTCAGAATTTCCACAAGCAAAGGAGTATTTCAAGAAAAAAGTAGAGTTCGAAGAAATTCAAAGTAGAGTATTGGATTGCACTGAACAAATTCAACAAAAGACACAGGCCATTAATGATCTTTCAGGTACTCGCAAAATAGATATAAAACTTAAAAGCATATATAAATATTATGGTTGTAAGAACATTTTGTTTCACAATGTTTTTGCATTAAGAAACACTTATATAATCTTTTGTTTCCTGTTCAACAGAACCGTCACTTTTTGGATCTCTTCATGAATGGGCTTTGGAAATGTATCCATTAAAATGTTTTATTATTGTCAAGTAAAAGTTTATATACCATTGCATTGCATACTCATCAAATGGTGCTGGACGCTATTTTTGGCATAAATTTTATTTATTGCTAGAATCTCAAATATAAAATAAATGATTGGAAGGAATCTGAAACTGCATTGATCTTTGGTACGTTTTGAGTGTTTTTCTCACTTCAGTATCTTCTAATTAAAGCAAAAGTAAGACCAAATCAATAATGTAATAAATCACAGAGAATTTAGTCCTTTAGGACATTGTCCATGAGATCTTCTATTGTGCTCTGGACTGATGTGCCACCTCCTCTCTGGGATTATTTTTTATTTATTTTGATAAACTTAATGTCTGATTACTATGTAGGATATAAGCATTCAGTTCATTTACTAAGTGATTTCCACAAACAATTTCCTACAGTGTTTACCTAGCATACCATTATGCAGTTTGAATATGCCTGGCAGCACTCAAAAATGCAAGTAACCCCAGGGAAATTTGTATATTCATTCTACAAACATTAGATACTCAATGTGCTAATAGGATAATTAATCCCATAGAGCCCAATATACAATGTATAGTTAACTGTCAGCAATGTGGTTACATCGGGTGTCAACACTGAGGGCAATCCATTGTTTGATGCATAGGATGGGAATTCCTCTAATATTGAAAAACAAAAAACAAATGAACAAGAATCATTGGAAAAATCAGGACAGTGATAATGAAACACTATCAAAAAGTGACAGTCTTGTGGAATCTTTGGCACATAATTTATATATTCTTAAAAAGGAACAGTTCAATGGATGTGTATTTATATGTGGAATTGAAGGTCACATGGAAAATGTCACAAGATTAATTCATTTTAAAAACAGGTATATCTACTTTGCATTCAACATCAACTTTCGATTCTTTCTGCAGTATGTGAAGGGATATTTAAATGTAATGAATGAGGAAGACCCTACAAGATAATGTACAAATACAAATTACATTTATATAGTTCCTTTTAGATTGGGAGGATGTCTCAAATGTAACTTTAATAAGGCATCAGAATTGTGGGGCAATAAACTTGACTATATAATACTTGCAATGATCTATATTAACCCCTTAACACTGACAGTGCTGCTTTAAAAGTAGACACCCAGAATGTTTTGATTCAGGTTGCATACACAAAGGATAAAGCGGTAGAGGAGCATAATGAAAACCAAGAGAGTCCTGCACAGGTAATTCTACTGTTTCCAAATGCAATTTGACACATAAGTAAATAGTGTCATAATAAGAATTACAATAGTAAGAAAAGAAAGACATGTTCCTAGAATCTTAAATTCACATTGGAGCAAAGTACAAAAAAAAGTCCCAAAACAGCTCAATATATGCCTTTTTCCATGTTTCCATAAATTCTGTTACATTTTAATTTTAAAATACCAAGAAAGTGCTTGCAGCAGTGACCACAGTGAACTGAACTAGATGTTCTATTGAAAAACGTCAATAATAATTGTTTGATACAGAAATAAATAAATGTTGAGGTCTTGCTTAATTCCTGTAATATATGATTTTACTACTGTATTTATATTGTGATTTTAATTTCATTTAACTTTTATGTTGGCATGATACAGTTGGATAATTTCGAGAGTTCTGAAGGAATAAAGGTGCCGGACTTCAGTAACTTGCCAAATAAGGAACAAAAACAAAGGTATGTTTCGGTGTTTGATAAGTACAATTGGCAAATATAGCTAGAATTGCTATGGTGAAACATTTTAGCAAAATTGTTTTAATATTTATAAATGTTATGCTTGTCAGTAATAATAATCCTTGCATTCAAGACATCATTGAGATCTCTCAAAGCACTTCACAGAATATATTGTAAAGTGGATTGCGAAACCAATTGTGGCAGCCAATTGCGCACAGCAGTCAGTGAATTAATACAAGCCTGACCAAAAACAATTGGACCACTATTCCTAGTGGCAATCCAATGAGAGGACACAGTAGTACAATAACTTGTTTCAAACTGTGATTAAAGCAACATCCTATCTGGTCACTAGTTTGGTTTCATTAAAAAAAGGATCAACTTGTGATGTTTGCTGTCTCTTAGAATGGAAGTTCAGTGAATCTCTTGATACCGAGCACAAAAGAGAAATAGATCTGATTTAAGAGATTATGAGATTCACAATACTTTCCACCATCAACATCTTTGGAAATTCAATGCCTATTTCCTTGCATATACACCTTAAGAATTCTGGTAAAATATACTAATAGGAATAGAAATACTGTGTTATATTTATGTAGATATAGACAGCTTTTCTTTAAATTTAGCCAAAAAACATGCAATGTATTTGATCAAACATCAAAATAGGTATATATTATGAATTCACATTTGTCAGATGAAGTGAAAGTTCATTCTAGTTTTATAGTATGATCACCTCATGTGCCAGCCTCAAAACATATACTCTGCTATCCATTTGTTAAATGGTCACATAAAACAATCCTCTTTATTCTCCACTCGTGAGAGAATTTGACTGATTAATATTGAATCAATAAGTCTGAGCTATGACAAAATTCGTAGCACATGGATGACCTTGGCATATCTTTCATGTATATTGTAAATAGTGACTTCAATGCAAACATTTCCTGTTTTGGAAAGGAACAGCTAGTATTTGAAATCTAAATGTAACCACCTCACAATTTATTTTGTAGCATTTACCAGCAGAAGGAATACAAAATTGCTTTGAATCCTACAGTCAATTCTGAACAAACACAGCCTCAGAACGTAGTCACTTATTGTCAGAAATCATTAACTTCGAAACCATTTGAGCTCATGTTGGAACAGTCCGAGTCCGACACTGGTAATGTATCTTTTATTTTAGAATTGAGGTATTAGGGAAATACTTTTAACTTCAGCCAGTTAAGGGAGTCTCGTACTTTATCCTGGTAATTTCCCTTTATATTACCATCTGTGGCAGAATTAGATATGACAAGCAAAACTCCTCCTGTATGGGTATGCCAATGTGTTGGATTGTTATATTTTTCAAGATTGAACGTTTCGATTGATTGATAAAACAAGAAAGTAGAAAATCTTTAGACAAATAAAACTATAGACATATTTCAGCAGCAGAATAAGAAAAGTTATACTGAGGCAATATGAATCTTGTTTTTTGTCATAATATTTTTTAATGATTTTCTTATTAAAATTTTGTCTTAGAACTTGGAAAAAATAACAAGCAGCAAACAAATAACGTCATTCTTCCACAAGTTAATTCAGTACAAACTGAATATCAAGTAAGTGTCAATAGTTTAAATGAAACTGACCATATTAGTGTTGGTAGGGAAGAAGAATTAGTATCAAAAATATTCAGTTTTCTTTATGTTTATGTGTCTTTTATGCAGCATGAGTTTCTTTATGTATACGTACCACTAAAATTAGTTTAATGGCCTTTGTGCTCATTGCAGTACTTTTCAGAGACATACTACTGTTATGATACTTTGTTATTCCCCCTTCCTCAACATAGTGTTTGCTTCAAATTTCTATTAAAAAAAAGTTAATAAAGTACGTGAGTTATTAAGGTTAAGAGTGCTTTAAGATAGTATGGAAAATGAATATAAATTTCACCAATACAATGAAGCTGCATTTTCTCCCTCTTACCCTTATTTTCATATATCTTAACCTTTACGTATAGCATAACAATTACTGATTTGGCTGAGCTTGTGACCTTGAAATGAAAATTGAAAAATGTAAGCTTGCAAAAAAAAACATTTTATGTAATTTTACAGAGGAATGTTGAGTTAAGGGGAATTCAACAACAGACATGCTTTCAGATCACCCCAGCAACGAAGAACCAAGGGCAAATTCAATACCGGTAATAATTCATTTTTATGTTTCTACCACACAATACAAGCATGTGCATGTGCTTTGCACAACAAAATTTATAATGCCAGTTGGAGGCAACACTTATATATATTTTAATATTATTATACATTAAAGTGCGCAATGCTCAGTTTGAAATATATTTGGGAAGAACTTCCACCCTCCAATTTTAATTATATTTTTACATATTATCCTGTGTAAAGAATTAATGTGTATCAGTCATAAACCAAACACACAGGAAACTATAGCCTGTGAATTAGCATTAGAAGGAGATTGTCATACAGTAAACACTGGCTTATTGATATCTGGAATTCGAATCCAGTGCCCCCAAACCAAAACTTTTTTAAAAATTTCCACGGGCCACAAATTTCCATGTAACTCCTTCGGGTCCAACTCTCCTTTCATATGTCAATGCTGCACTGAGCAGCCCATGGGATGCCTAAAGCTTCCCCCCTCAATGTCCCTAGTCTAGCATCCAGTGTCCATGTGGGTGAAAAAACTACCCCGTACTTTTTGTATTCAACGATAGAAATGCATATGCAGTGCCGGTAAATGTATTACCAGCATTTTACGGCACTTTTTGCATTTCCAGCATTGTAATTGCACCGAACCAGAAATGCCGGGTTGCCGGACTGGATCCCCCTTTAGTCTGGTCAGTCAGGGTATATTTGTACTAATGGTTTGGATTTAATTATTCATCAGAAAACCAATTTTTAATTTTTATTTCAACTAAGGGTAGTGATACTTGATCAAATTACTTCAGTGTGATCACTCACAGACTTTCCTTATTTTTTAAAAAATAGTTCACTTGTTCCTAAGAATCAAACAGATACTCTGCAATGGTTACAGAGTACTGCCACAACTTCAGGTAAATACTAAATACTTGTAGTTAACTAATTAATTTCAGAGAAATTATATTATATTGGACCTTCATATGTTAATTTAGTTACACTGATTTATTACAGTGGAACAAACTTTTGTTATAATCACTTTTTGTAAATAAATATTACAGCAAACTCAGATACAGATGAAATGAATTCAAGCCAGTACAAATCACATATTCCCTCTGATTCTCTCTACAAGTCTCCGGTAAGTTGAGGTTTTCGATATCATTGCTGATTCTGACAACCACTTGAAACCTTTTCCAAACATAAGATAGCATTGCAATGAGGAGAGTGTTCACAGCCAACCACATCTGTCATATTATTGTCGGTCTTTAACTTTAACCCAAAATTATTGCTGGATATTTCAAGTAAAGTAAGAAAAATTCAATCACAATATGCACCTATATGAATTTTTTTTAAAAATTGTTTCATCTCTCTATGCAAACTAAAAAATCCTAGAGAAGGCATGAAATATACTGCTAGGGTAGAAAAATACAAGCCCTTCATGGTGCAAGAAGGTATCTTGTGAATTTCCAAACAATTAATTGCACAACTGCTTTTGATGCACTATTTCATTGACTTTCTTCCAACTTAGAGAGCAAAGGCAATTCCGTGGCTCTCAATTTTTACAAGCAGTTTCACTATTTAGCACTTCCAGTTTGATAGATAATGTATTCATTTTTTTCTATACATAGGCATGATTTAATGTAAATTTATTTGCATTTCAATTTGGGGTCAAATGTTTTAGTTTACTTGTGTTTATATAATTCACTTTGTTCAGTAGTTGCGTGAGCAGAATACTTCTAAAGAGTTGTACTTCATACAGTTTTTACAAGTTTTATTTTGCTTTTAACCAGATCCATTTCAAATTTGAGTGCTGGCATCAAATCACTCATCTTGTTTTGTAGGCACAAATTGACCCGAAATCTGTGAATGATGACCAAGAAGAAACTACAAATAAAACATCACAGATGTTTTCAAGAACACCTGAATACGCTGGCCCAAGTCAAAAGGAGTTTGAAATGTAATAATATAATACCTTAAAATAATTTAAATTTCTTAAAATATTCTTACAGGATTAGTTCACATGAGATTTACATATATTTCAATCAGAATTCTGATTGTTTAAAAATAAGTTATTCAATATAGCACATCTCAGCAGTTTCATGTTACAAAAGTTGCAAATACAGTATTGTTTATTTCAGTCAGACTCAGTTCAAAAATGAATACTATCATTGATACCAGTTTCAAGCAGATGCTGCAGGCTAGTCATGTTTTGGTTTCTAATAAAATATCTTAAAGAAAAATAAATCTATTATTTTTGTGATAGGGATTGTAACCCGCAGCATGAGAAAACATCATCAGAATCACCTCGCTTTTCCTTCCTGGGTGTTTCCACACCAAAAACATCTGGATTTGATATGTTTGGAAGATTAGCGTTTGGTTTCCCAGATACCCCAGAACAGGTGAAGGTCTAGATATTTGTTATAATGTGCATAGAAAGGAAGGTTCATCATATTTTGAAAATAGAGAAAATTATTGTAAGCAATGAGGTGAATGTTCTTTGTGCGATATGTGCCTATCCCTTTTGATAAGAAACCAGCATGAACCTTGAAATAGCATGTCCCCCTCCCACCCACCTACCCCCATATTTAAATGCCTCCTTTCATTGAAAAAACTGACAGTAACAAGATCTTTTACGGTGTTTGAAAGGAAAGGTAGATGCTGATCAATAGATTTATAAAGTATTTGTTTTGTGATTGTCTCACAGTTGTGATTGCATGGGAAGTATATCTTCAGTGAATTAATTATTTTCAACAAAAAATGGCTAATAGTTTTCTTTGGTCATTCCCACTTTAATTACAGATACCTGTTAATCATTAGTTTGTATTCAGAAAATAATGCAGTCATTTCACTGTATTTCAGGTGAATGACAGACAGATGGCTGGTAACCAGTTTGAGTTCTCCAGTTTGTTCTTCAAAAAAACGGTACAAAAAATTCCAATTGCAAAATGTTGCTGGTATGTCTTCTCGGGATCTGACTCAACTGGTTTGGCAGAAATCCAGACTTGGTTCAAATTCAGTCTCAGAGATGAAAAACTATTATTCTTATTGAGTGCATCACCCAATTCTGCAATATTTTATGTTTTCCTTGCTTTTAGTTCTACCATTGTGTTGCAGATCCAGCAAAATCATATCAAAGCTACTTCCAGAGTAAGATCCATTTTGTCCACAAATTCACAATCAATCCCACTTTACAATATATTCTGTGAAATGTTTTGAGACATTTTAATGACATGATAAGGGGTTATATCAAAAACAAGGATCATTATTATTATCCTTGTGTGCCCAGAGAATGAACCCAAGGATCAATAACTCGCCAGCAGTGTACAGTACTTGTAAAACTTCCCACTGTCAGGAATGTGCAAGACTGGAAAAGACTATTATATGTTTAGAAGATTCATTGAGCCTTGACATTAGAGATGCTGTGGATGCTGAAGTGAGCAGTTATCTCCACTTTGTTGCTGCAGAAAAATTTCCAGCAGGAAAAGAAACAGGTTCAATTCCCATTATCTTGCTCAAATGTGAGCTCATACAATCTATGTGAACTTGGTCTATTAAACTGTAAAGTTCCAAGTAACTCAGTGAAAAAGAACCAAATTTGTCTGGGGCCAGTGGAAATTACATGTGCAATATCATCTGTTGGATTTTAAAAGGGTTTCACCCACTTAATGTTTTTAATCTCTTGTACTGGAGTCCACTAGTGTGTGTCGTTTTAGGGTGTCATTTTATTTGAAGAATTAAAGAATTACGATTGTTGTATCAAGTGAGCATTTTTTTTTAAATTGATGTAATTATAAAACAAAATTGCATTTTACTATCAATTTTTCAGCCTGAGAAGGATTGCACATCCCATCTAACTTGCAGTTCTCATTCGCCACAAAGAGATATTGGTAAGTGATCTTCTAATTTGCATCACTATTACTCTGTACGTTTTCCCCTGCAAGGTAGGAAATATAATTAAGTAGTCATTTTCTTTCATAAAATGAAGTTTTCTGTTAGGCTTTGCTTATAGCGTTGGCTGTAAAAATTGGTAACCTGCTTCTGGTACTGATTAGCTGGCTTCCTGCGCTAAAAAATAGCTGACCTCTGAGTTGTCACTAATGTTACTTCCCGAGCACTGTGTGAGATGCAGAAACCACTGATAATATTCCTGTGCACGCAACGGAGCTACCCCTGACATTTCATGAAAGAAGCCATTATTAGTTTACCCTATATTTACTATTATTCCCATCTACTTTCTGGACTTTCATCTGGGATGGTCGCTGGCAGCTTAAATATTTTATTTGTGAGATTTTCTTCCACAGAATTATGGATGTGTAGATCAGACACTTGGAAAAGCATCTGAGCCTGAGTTGATTAATTTGTTAAACCTTAGAACTTCTAGCAAGCCTAAGGAAACTTTTGTCTTCCGAAGCAAACAGTTTTGTATGTTTTCAGTTCAATTATATGTTATATTCACAAAAATGTTTTAAAATTGCTTTTTATTTTTTGCAGGTTTGGAAAGTCCATCAAATGAACAACCATTCACGTTTTCTTTCCAGTCAGAACCATCTCCAAATAATTTTGGAGACAGCAAAGATGAATTCAATTTTGGTTTCTCATCTGCACAGAATCAAAGCTCATCACAACAAAGTGTCTTCAAGTTCTTTTAAAGAAACATGCCTTAATTAATTATAGATTTGAGGATCTGAGATAGAAAAGATTGAAATATGATTTTTAGTAAAATTATATTTCCCATTTTTGCATACTGTATTCTAATATTCATGTGTGGTCATAATTGAAATTATTCTAGTATGATTTTAAATTGCAGTTCTTTCATTTTAACAAGATTGTTGCTAGAACATACAAGCTTTAAATATTCCTTGTTAAGTCATTTGAGCTGACACCTACCCATTTCAGAGGTGACTGTTGTATTATAATTCCCGAAAGCAGGAATTACGTTATAAATTCAGCAGTCGCCTCAGTCCACAATACTATTTATGTCACCAGTGATTTACCCATGATATTTTAATTCTGTGACTTGATAAAAAAGTGTAAATAATATTCCACATTTGTCATCAGTTGTTTTACAAAAAATAACAACAGTCTTAAAGTACTGTATATGAATACTGTAAATCTTCATTTCCAAGGCACCAGTATGGTGACTGATAACAAAGCAAGTCTGGAAAGATGATTTTTCTTTTCACAGTTACTGTACAAGTATTAAACAGTTTTGTTATGCAATTACATAGTATGACATTAATGCTATTTGGTATTCTAAGTGCTGAATTTCTATTGGGAACAGTAAAGTTTTTTTTCCATTTGTGCTGTTTGTTCAATTATTTACTACTTAAATGCAAGGCTTTTATTTTAGATATTATTTGTGTGGTTATTTAAGTAACTTATTATAAATGACTTCCTTACAAATAGATTGAAAATAAAACCGAGTTGTACAGAAGTCACGTTTCAAATACATGGAATATAATTGACTGATTTTAAAGGTGGAAGTTAGCTAACGTAAGCGACTTATGGATTCTGGTAACTAAGCTACAACCCATCAAACATGAAAATAAAAAAAGAATAAATGAGTTTGCAGAGGTGACTATCATATTGTAATTCCTTAAAGCAGGAAATACGTTATAAATTCAGCAGTTGCCTCAGCCCAAAATGCTATTTATGACACCAGTGATTTATCCATGACATTTTAATTCTGTGACTTGATACAAAAGTGTAAATAATATCTCATAATAATATATGATATATTATAATGTATAATATAAATATATATATTTTAATATATAATACAATAATAATATCTGTCTTTGATAGTGGAAAATATTTGTCCTAATACTACTTACACTACAGCTTTCGTATATTGCAATACAGAAACAGTTTAGAGGATATCCTTTTTGTTAATGGCAATATTTATCGGCTGACTTTACTGGAAGGGAACATTAGTTAGTCTTCTTTAGATTTTCAATATACTACAGCTGAATGTTATGAAATGCACTAATGGTCCTAGATTATTAATTAGATTAATACTATGAGGATTGTATTAAACTGCTACATTGAAGTTCACCCAACAATTGAGCGTTTTTGAGGCCAAGACCCTGGACTCATTTAAAAAAACTGTTTGAACCTGTAATGGGAGGTCAGTTGGGTGGGTATTCTGGAAGGATGACATCAAATGGGCCAAAGGACCTTCTTTATCCAAACCTCTCATATGATCTTGTGAATTGCTGAGAAACAATTGAAATTTGTTGCTTGAACATGCTTGACATTGCAGAACATAAATAGAACCTTAGGAAGAATAAGTCAAATTAAGGAATTAAAGAGGAAAGCCCATTCTGATTTCTGCTGTAACATACCTCAAACACAACAGACAGTGAAGGACACTGACACAATTAGCTGAGGACTTGAATATGTGTTCTTCCTTACAGGGTGTATTAGAAAGAAAATGAGTAATAATAATCCTTATAATAATAATCCTTGCATTTGATATAGCGCTTTTCACGTCGGGAGGACGTCCCAAAGTGCTTCACAGAACATACTGTAAAGTGAATTGACTGTATATTTGTGGGCGAACGCGGCAGCCAATTGCGCACAGCAATGTCCCACAAACAGTCGTAGATTGAAAATTACCAATTTATTATTGTTTTTGTTTTTTTGGAGGGATTATTATTAGGCTCTGTGTGGAGTAAGGAAACTTGCCCAAGGTTTCGCCCTGACCTGCCTGGAATTGAACTCAGGTCTCTCGCTTGCAAAGCGAGTGCTCTAACCACTGAGCTACAGGACTCCACCTTATAATTACAAATATTGTGCGTAATATTCTGGTACGTAATTACAAAGAAATAAGTATTTGTCATTATGAGCAATGTGCATATTCTCTCACGTACAAGGATGTAGTTTCATAATTGTGTTCCATTTACAATACATAAAGAATGATTTGTCATTCTGGCCTTGCATCGGTGGCCTTTTGTTGCTAGAGAGTGTAATTCAGATATTTCTGTTACACATTCATTTATGAACCCAGCTCTTTCAAAATGGCAGACGTTTCTCTCGATTGTAGACCTTTCAGTGTGCTTAATAGTAATTATTTCCATGAACAATACAGAAACCTCCCTGACCTAGTCATGTGAGGATACTTTTTATTTCACTCAACAGTTAGTTACTGCCAAACATCTGTCTAAACTATATTTCCCAGTCAGAAACCAGGTGTTTTTGACACAAAATTCCTTAATTTATAAGAGTTAAAGCAAATATCAGTATCTTGCTGATATTAATATGGCAGCATATCAATACGCTGTGGGATTCAATCGATTTCCAGCCACACACAATCCATCATTGTAACTAAATTATAAACCCTGGAAAGTGAAAACAAATTAACTTTCAAAAGACAGTTCTAAGTGAATCCACATGACTAAAGAGCTCATTTATAGCACAGTTGTTTGCTTCATGGTTGTGGTTTGTATTTGATGGCTCCAGAGATGACATGAGTCAAAAGCAATCAAAGTCCTCGTTCCTGGTGGAGAGGCTTTGCCCTAATACTCTGTGACTCACACCCAGGTTGTTCGCAGTTCTACTGCTCTGCTTCCAGACACATCACTTACAGTGGTTCTGATGCGAACAACTTGCTGAGAAATCGCCTCTTGGCATGTTGCTTCCCTGACCCCGTACCTTGCCCATTTGAGTAGGGTTTGATTTAAAGAGTGTATGATGCTCTTTTCTGGTGAGCTGTTTAACCCTGGAGCTTATGCAGCATTAACGTTGAAATTTTTGCAAAATCCATCATATCTTAACATATTGGTGTAATTATAAATTGCAGTAGAAATAAAGAATTACAGACCTGTAATTAATCATTACAAACTATTTGTGCTTAGTTTTGAAATTGGATCACTTACTTTAGTCTCACTCTGTTATTTACCAAAGTGAATAACTCCTGAATCTTTTAGGTATCTCTGTTTAATGCAGCAACATTCAGACTACAAACATAAACATTGCATATTGCATCCAAAGGTATATTTTTATATATATATATATATTACTAATAAATATTGGTGCTTACATTATGTTCTTGCTGTTGATATATATAGTAATTTGTAGCAGTGCTTAGTTTTTCAAAAGCCAAAATTGCTTATGAAGAGTAATTCTAAATTTAGTATCATTGGCGGGCAAGCACAGATTATTATGTCCAGCAGAAAATCAGCCTTAAACACCATCATGGAGAATGATTTCTCCAACTAATACTTCCTGGGAAATCATTTTCTATATATATACTATGTATATACACATCAATAAAGATGAAGAAAACAGGATGCTTATCTTCCACATCGAATCCATCTGTTACTAGTTTGGGAACTTTTTTTAGAAATAGAAGCAATTAGTTAAGAATATTCAAGAAAAATGTGATGTCCTGTAGCTCAGTGGAGTCCTGTAGCTCAGTGGTTAGAGCACTCGCTTTGCAAGCGAGAGACCTGAGTTCAATTCCAGGCAGAGGGCAAGTTTCCTTACTCCACACAGAGCCTAATAATAATCCCTCCAAAACAAAACAATAATAAATTGGTCATTTTCAATCTACGACTGTTTGTGGGACATTGCTGTGTGCAATTGGCTGCCGCGTTTGCCCACAAATATACAGTCAATTCACTTTACAGTGTGTTCTGTGAAGCGCTTTGGGACGTCCTCCCGACGTGAAAAGCGCTATATCAAATGCAAGGATTATTATTATTATGCTTGATTTAGTCACAAAAGTTATTCTCAAGACAATCTGAAAGGTTTATATATGTGAGTTATATGTAATGGAGATAGTTTTCCCAATGATACCCATTTTACAGTACAAGGACCATTTCTAGCTTTCCACCACTAACAACAACAACAACAAGATTTGATTTATAGAGCGCCTTTCACGTCGGGAGGACGTCCCAAAGCACTGGACAGTTGGGTCGGGACCCGAGCCTTGGGGGGAAATGGTCAGGGGGAGGGAAGGGAGGGAGCGAGGAGGCGGTAGAGAGTCGAGAGGGGATCTGAAGGCACGGTCGAAGAGAATACTAAGCCTGGAGCCTTCAACATATTTACCGCTCTGTGTACCTGTTTAACTTCAGTCACTGACCAGATTTGGAATTTTGATCCATCTCCTTCCTCTTTGCTTTCCAGCCAAAGAATGATGATAGGAAGCAAAGCTTTCCCATCTTCCACAGAAGTTAAAAATGCTATTAAAATATACAGTACAATGGAACTATTGGTCCTATAGTTTTTTTTCCTCTTCTTTCTGTGCTTAAGTGGCCTCTACTCAAAACAGCTACAGAAGTGTGATTAAAATGAGGAAGTTTGGGAATAATCATTGGATTCAATCTCAAAGTCCATAAATCCATGGAGCAGTATTCTTGAGACTAGCTGTCAATAATAACATTGCTTATGCATTTGACTTTCTAAGTTTTATTAAGTATCCAAATAATGAAGTATTGTTTTATCATTATTGCAATCAAATTATAAACCCAAATCTCAAGCATTAGTATTAACATCTAGAACAGATCACCGGATTGCTTGATTTCGGAGATATATATTTGGTAATTAACCACAAGAATGTTTAACATTTTAATTTAAAAATTGCTGAATAATATAAATGTTCTGCAGAAAAGGGAAAAATAGAGAGAAATAAATCAGCCTACATTCTGCCACAATTAATTATGTGTACAGTAAAATATTGGCATAAGATTAGATTATGAGTTGACTTTATGTTCTCTGTCTTCAGTAACTCATGCTTAGGGGCATGGTGATGTTTTTGACAAGTCACTGCTGCTGGCTTAGTGATTTCATCCAGTATTACAAAAACAGCTACAGGATAGCTTTCTAGCCACATATAAAAAGTGTCATTTAATAGTCACTATTTTTTCCATTGTATGGCTATATATTTTCCCAATGTTTCAGATCAAAGGTAAAAGGTTTTGCTGAAATTGTCAACCCAAACTATACTATTTTAAAAAATCTTTTTTTTTAATAACAGATATATCTGTAATGGTTGGGGTAAACACATTGTCTTACTGAGATACTGACTATAATAATAATAATAATCCTTGCATTTTGAAATTGTGCCTTATCACGTCTTCAAGACGTCTCAAAGCGCTTCACAGAATATACCGTAAAATGAATTGACTGTATATTTTGTGGGTGAAACTCTATGTGCATTTCAGCCCAGGTGCATGAAATCAAACCTGGCAACCATAAATATTTCAAACACACATTTCATTACTCCGCACTTAAAGCTAATGTAAATTGTAAATATAATTTCCCCATATTT